GGCGGGGTGTGGCCTCCTCATTATTTATGAGCTCCAGCCCCTCCCGATTTGCTCACTAATGATGCACCGGAGGCCGGGGAGCCTCGCCTCGCTAGCGCGGCGGCGGGGAGGGCAGGGCAGCGCCTGTAACTGGAAACCGGAGCCTTCCCCGTCACCGCGCCGCCACTTTCCATTCACTCCTAGGTGCTTAATTGAGGGCTGGGGAGAAGCGCTCCTGGTGCCGTAGGAGCCCAGCTATAAGGATTATTTTACAAAGCAGCCGGGAGTACCTTTGCAACCACTGGGAAGAGAGACTTTTCCTTATTTTTTTTCATCTCCCCTCCACACACGCAGTGAGCCAGGTTTGGAATTAAAATATTCTGGTAACAGGCGTGGAGTCCGTAAACTGAGAGAAACCAGTTAGAAATCTGTATTACTGGTCCCTCCAATAGCCGGGTAAGCATAATTGAAAGTTCTCTTTCTTTGCTGTGATAGATATGAAGCGTGTTTGATGGTTGAATTTCCCTACTGTTTACAGAGAGTTAAAGCAGTATTTTCCAGATTATTGTAGCCTGCGTTTGGCGGGGGGTTTTGTGGGGGGTGTTTTTTATGTTTTGTGTGTGTGTGTTGGTTTTTGTGTGTTTGTTTTTTTTCCCCTCCTTCTTTTTTTTTCTCCTGCTGAATGATTTTCCTTACAGGATTGAAGTGTAGGACTCAGCCTGTAGTGAATGACACCTGCACGGCACTTTACAGCAAAGCTATATCAGACTTTCTGAAAGCAGGACAACGTGCTGAAAGCAACCTCCGTGGCAGGAAAACGCAGGTTGCCGGGTTGTTTAGAGATAGAATAGGGTATAAGAGCAGAAATTTAATAGGAAAATGCTTTTTGTCTGACCTAAAATATTCTTTAAAAGTACTTGCAAGATTTGAGGTCTGTGCGATGTCAGCAGAGATCATGTGCACAGGACATGCTGAATATAGTATCATGACTTGCTGAGATAAGTTCAGGACTGGGATATAAGCCCAAACCACGATTCAAACCTGCAATGACTTTGTGTTCTGTTACCAGGTATACAGATCTCTGAAATTAAACCTATTTCCATTAGGTAACTCACGTCAGACACCCTGAGGAACCTTTTTTGACACACTTGCATTTATTATTTATGTGTCTAACAGCTGGATAGGAACCATGCAACTCAGAGTTTTAATCTTATTCGCCTGTCACTTCGGTGTTAACAGTGAAGATCTGCAGTTTGAGCAATGAAATGTAGCAATGTTTCACTCCCTTAACTGATTGCACTAGAATTGGCAGGAGGCATGAGTGGGAGGGAATGAGTGCTGAAATGGGTTTTTTATTGTGATTTCCTACAGTATCATTTAAAGGAAGAGAGAAAGCCACACACTTGTTCCTCTTTGACTTTTTATCTCTATTGCAAAGAAAGCATAGTGCTACTACTGTAAAATACTAATCCCATTGCATCTGTTAAATCACATGTTCAGTATGATTGGCTGTTTGTTTTGGCCTGACAAAGAAATTTTATCAGGATTTAATGGGATTTCTCTCTTAGAAGAGGGGCAAGTTAAAGGATATCCCATGGGCTAGTCACAAGGTTTAAAATTTATAGCCCACAAAGCAGCATTAATTCTAGAGTTTGTGCAGCCTGTTTAAAAATTATTCTTGGCGAAAACTCTGCAACTATCATTTTATTAGTTAACAGACCCTTAGAGATAATTTGGAACTGGGCCAGAATGGATATGTTTCTGCTGTAGATCAGATCTGTAACTGGCATTTTTCTGTTGCTGTTTTGTTGGGTTTTTTTGTCAATTAACAAGAGTTGTAGCAGTACTTGATTTTCATGCATTTCTCTGTACTCTGGAGCAAATAATGGAGAAGAGTTTAGATTGTGGTCTGCAGAGCTGTGCACTTCATCCTGTGCTCTCCATCCCACCCCCAAGTCAGTATGATGTTCTCATGCAGACAGAAGCCTTTCAAACAGATTTACAGTGAGTGGATAGGGGATGACAGGGGTAGTAATGAGATACGGGGATTTTACCGCAGAGTCAGTGGTGTGGATCCAGCCCAGATTGGTGTTGACCTAAAGTCATCCCTGCCTGACAGCTGGTTCCTGCCATGCTGTGGTAGTTACGGCCGGTTCTTTTAGGACAGGTGTGAATCTCAGGGGACAAATAAGCAGGCATGTAGAAATATTGGCTTCCACTGGAGGGACTGCAGTGCTAGAGCAGAGCTGAGGAAAAGAAGTGTAAGATGATTGCACAGGCAACAAACTCTTCATGAAATAAATGTATAACCTTTAATGCTGTTTTTTAGCTGTAGAGGTTGTGTCCTTCAAAATGCTTCTAGTTACCACAGAATCTAATGTATCACTTGATTAACCAGGAAGGGGTATCTAGCAGAAGGACTGTTGATAGTAAAAAGAAAAAAAAGTATTTAAGCAGGGAAGTAGAAGGCCTAAAATAAGAGTTTTATTCTCATTTTTGCAGCTGAGTGGAAGAACAAAGTTGTTATCATAGGTGAAATACAATTTGTGCTTTATCTCTTCTTTGGAGCGGTGGTGCAGTTTTAATGAATTATAAATATGCAATAGTCAGCTTCTCATAATCCTGGGTTTTATGGGTCTGGTCCAAGCCTATTGAAATTGATAGGAGAGTGTCACTGATTCCAGTGAGCTTAAGCCATTCCTGAGCTAAGAAAAGATGCAGATAGGTTTTGGGGTGTTTCCTGACTTTCTGAGGAGCGCAGTCTCCTCAGCAGCTAAACCCTATAAAATTATTGTGGTTTGAGCAGATGTGCAGGAGGAATGGCAGAAGGATCAAGTGTAATCCACTGTCCAACACTAGGTATTCTTAGTGCTCTGTAGACATCTTTGAGAGCAGGTAAGTTTACTGAAAGGAGCTAGCCCAAAAAGCAAACATTGACCAACAGTTTCGAGCATGTTGAAATAGTTTTTGTTTTCAGTTATTTTTTAATTAGTGGCATAAACAGTCAGGATTACAGCAAGGGCTATTAGAAAACTTGGTTTACTAAAATATAAAGCTCATTTTCAAGCACCTTTGATTTCAAATATTAAAAGCAAGCAAACAAACAAACAACAAGCCAAACCTGCCTCCCCCCAAATCATGAAGGAGGTTAAATATGATGTAAAGTAAGGAGAGACATCTAAAAATATCAGCCAGCTTTTTAGTTGTGAAACTTTATCTCCTGTCCTTGCTTTGCTCTGCCTTGACATTTAGTATAATTATTTTTCCAGCAGGTGGAATTGTCCTTATTTAAAGAAACTGATTTTAATGCTGTAGTTTGCCTTAACCAAATCTAAGGTTCTCTTGGTTTCATACTAACAAGCTGAGAGCTCCTTTTGTGCCAGCCCAGAAGACTGCTGGGGAAAACCAGTTTCAGATGTATAAAGAGAAGCAAAAGTGCTGTACCTCTTGCACATTATCATGTATTATGGCTTCAGCTGGAAGAGCTTTCTAACTTAGATCTTTCTGTAGTGTTGTTTTTGTTTCAAAAAATTATATAACAACTGTAATATGATATTTCTGTCTTTCAGGTTTCATTTCTTGGATATTAAGTTGCAAATCTGAAGAGATGGCATTTCTTGCACTGCAAGTGTTGATTGGGATATTTATTTACTTAAGCAGTGTAAAAGGATCTTCCCAGCCTCAAGCAAGAGTGTTTTTAACATTCAATGGTAAGAAAGAAGATAAACATTCTTAAGCAAATGTTATGATTTAACATTTTCTTCTCCTTAAATTCAATAACTGAGTAGAAACTGGCTTTTTGATCTTATCTGTGTTCACAATTATTATTTTTTATTTGTGTTGCTGAGGTATCTGTCAGCCTAAATTTGTTTTTTACCCAAAGTTCATTGCTACTATAGCTATAGGCACATACTTAATAATACCTTCTATTTGTTTTGAGAGCTATTATAGAGTACTAACAACTAAAGGCTTTATTTCTTATCCTTAATTTTGTTTGGGAAAGATGATAGCATATTACACATAGTGGAAGTTATTAATGATTTGAGTTGCTTTCATTTAGTGACCAACTGAGACACTTTGAAAATCAGGCTGCCTGAAGGTTTATGAAAATCCTTAGCAAGGCATGGAGTCATTTGACAAAATATCACTCCTTGTGCACTTTGTACAGTGTGTCAGATGTACATAGCATGTAGCAATCTCTGATGCCTGCATACTGTAATCAAGAAGTCAAAATTAGATTTTTCAACAGAGGTGCTTTTACTTCTGAAGTGGGGAGCAGTACCTTATTTCTGCAATTAGCCTAGCATTACTTTATTGTAAGGTCTCTTATTCTTTAGTATTAATCCCTGTCTTACATGCTGTGTTTAGCCACCACTTGAGTTGTGTGTGTTCTTCAGGCTTTCTGTTAAAATTAAGCAGAAATTTTCTGTCACTAACTATAGGGGCACTGACTTTCTTCAGCCCTCTGCCTTTTCTGCAGTGGTCTTTGAGGCCTAAGGGCTTGCTTCTCCCCGCTCCCATACTGTCTGCTTTAGGATGGTTGGCACAGTTCATGAGTGCAGGGATCCCCTCACGCTGCCATGACCTGCATGAGAATATTTGCTGTGCTCTGAACAGTCTTTAAAGAGTCACTTGAAAAATTAATCATAGCTACTACTTCAAACTGCTGTTTGCCACAGTGATCATAACTACATACTCTTGAGTCTGTGAGACATTCATAATGAGACCTGCTAAGTTAGATCTTCCACAAATACCAGCCAGCTGACTGAACAATTACAGGATACTGTATATTGTAGAGTATAAAGCCCTAAACTTAGGAGTGCAATACTTAATAGGTGTAAATTGGCATGGTTCCAGTGAAAGCAGTAGTAGAAATTACATTCCAAGAGGGAACTGCCAAATGAAGAAGTGGGTGGGAATTTGTTTTCCTTACTTAGTAATATTGACCTAACGTAGACAGTAGTGATGCAGCACAACTAAACACTGAAGCAAGTTTGGCTGTGGTTGTGTCACACTGGCAGATTTGTCACAGTTAAACAGAACAGGCTGATTCAGATTTCCACATTGTGTCCATGGTGACCTTGAAAGTAATCTAGGCTTCCTCTGATCTCTAATGTGAGCGTGAAGTAGGCAATATTCAGGTTTTATGGTATTCAAACCTTGTGAATGGGAAAGAATCATAAGAGAGGAGCGAATGGGGGTTTGTGTTTGTTCCTTGGGCCAACACAGGTGTCCTGCAAGTCTGAAAGACAGAACCACCAAGAGTTTAAAAAAAAACAAAAACAACAAACCAAGGGATTTAGAAAAAAAATAGTGGCTGGGTGAATTGAAACCTTAGTTTCTCTGTCCCTCTCAAAAGGAGGTTGTCCCTCCTTCCTTTAAAAAGAGTTATGACAGCTTATGTCACCTGGTAAGGTTCTTGGGCCCCTTGTACCATCCCCCTGGGGACAAAGCTTCAGCTTTCCAGTTCCTGACTGTGACTTTGCTGATCTGCCTCCATTACATCTCTCTTCTGTGATATCATGTATAATAGTTGCATCTCTTGTGTCCTCCTTGATTTTTTTAGTGATGCTCTGCATGAGTAAAACTGAGTCTCTAGCCTCAGTGAAATTTATCAGAAACTAAGGGTCATCAGAGCCTTGCAATACTGATGATCTTAAAATGGACGTTACTTTCTGTAATACTCATCTCAACATTCAACCATTTTAAAAAAATGTATTTTAAAGTCCTTGTTTTTTTTTAATGGGTCTTCCAAATTCTTAAAAGAAATACATTAATTATGCATTTTATAATATGACAAGTGATGTCTGAAATTAAGGCTTATTTTGTAGAATATAAACCCAGTAATTTTATTTTTAAGCCTGATTCCAGATGGTAAGGAACAATCTTCATTATGTGAAAAGAGTTTGCAGGTTGTTGTGTATAACAAGGTAATGGCCCCACCTGTAGTATGAACTTGTGTTCTATATATCTTCTTTTATTTACATGGGTACTGACATAAGAGAGAAAAGATGAAGTGCCAAGTGCAATAACATACTCTTTCTGCATAAGCTGCAGAGCTTTTGTTTTTAAATCATGTAGAAATATCAAGTTATTGGTTGTCTCTATGCCCTGAGAAGTTGTCAGTTTTTATGGAGAATTGTCACTCTTTTGAAGTGTGTAATTTGAAAATAAAACTATAATTAGGGCTCCTTATGTTTTAAATGACATTAGACAATAAAGACAAGTCATTCAAGCTTAGGATGCTTACTTGATATTTTTCAGGTTCTGAATTGGATTTGGCTTGGTTTCTGTAATCACATTGCATAAGTTTTGGGGGTAGAATGTATACAAGAGGAGAAAATGAGTGATGCTTTTCAAAGCTAACCTGCTCCTTCAGGACCAAGTCAATTGAGCTTATTCACATCACAGCATTTCTCATGGGAAAATCCAGCAAGTATCTTGACCTATTCTGTTGTTCATCAGGAAAGCTAAAAATGCGAATCGTTTTAATCATGGGCTGCTTTTCTTTTTGCCATCTACTTCATTAAGAATCAAATGTAATTAAAAAGTAAGCCTGGGTAATACCTCAAGAGCCTGATAATGGGGGTCTTGCAATTAACTTCAATGGATGAAGGACTGCAACCCTGATTTCTATTTTTGAAACCAAAAGCCTGGCCTCTCATCTAATTAAGATGTAGTTCATGACTTAGTTGAGATTGTTAAATGTGCATCTGACACAAGTGTGGAACTTACTGCTGTCTGCACCCTGAGTGTCTTGAAAATTGCAGTGCCATCAAGAACCCCGAAGCCTGATTTCTATTGCTTTGCACTTAGTATAGCTATTTACTCAGAAAGGAAAAGGCCAGGCTAGAGCTGAGCTGTGTTTGCACCAATATACATGGCTATCCATAGCACTAGGCCTCGGGAGAATCAGGGAAAGGGGTTCTCAGCATGCTTGGAATGATTTGTCATGACCTAATTGTCCTGCTCAACTGTGGTAGCTCAAACCATCACTATTTGTACCACACCTGCACTTGAAGAGTGGTTGCAGTTGAAGAAATAAAGATAGCTCCAGCTTTTTCTGATTCTGAAATTGCAGAGATGTGAACCTTGTGGTTCAGTGACAGTAGTGTTGGGGGATCATCTGCTGCATTACCATGGAACATCCAAGGGAGGAAACTTGGGTTGGAGAAAGCAGACACATCTCCCTAAACTATTAGTATACCACTACTCCTCCCCTTACCTCTTCTGGCTCCTTGAACCGAGCATAGATCTTCCTTAATATACTTAAATCACTCATCATAATTTAAAGCACCATAGTTCATTTTCTCTCCATAGCAGAAGACTTACCTTATCTGTTTATGAACTATCAAGTATAGTGCCTGCTGTTTCTCAAGCTACATGCATTCCTCCTTGTTACTGCATGTTCCTGAACAGATAATTGGGAGCTGTGTCCTTCAGGCTTTACAGAGGCAAAACATTTCTCAAATCAGTGGGAGCAGAATATTCAGAATAAAAAAGGAGTTATTAGACTCCAAGATAGTGTCAAACTTTCATTCCAACTCACATGTCCATTTTGGATTTTATTGTAACAGTAAAATGTTGGGTCATACCATTATAACATCAGATTCTGAATCAGTCAAAGCATTTCCAGTACTTGTTTTTTAATACACGCTCAAACAAATCTTCTTTGAGCTTTGGATTTATGTGGAGATGCACAAGCAAGTGATAATTTCACAATTTGCTGGGAACATTTCGTGCATTCCTACCTAAAATGTCTGGTCAAGCATATATTTCCCATGCAGATTCTCCCATTGTCTCAATATGAGAAGTGGATCAAGGTTAATTTGCAGATGGTTTTGTTCCTCTTTTTGTCATAAAATTACTAGAACAGGTAAAGCACTTTTAAGAAAGTATCAGTCAGCTTCATTAATGACAATTAAAAAGCATAAAATGTCACCAGAGCAACAGCAGCACTTATTCAACTGTCAACATATTTAAAAAGATTTAATGCAACCCCTGTGGTTACCCTCAAGGAAAAGTAAAGGAACTGAGAACCATTTTCTTTGAGCTCTTGAGCAACAGCAGTACAACTTGTTTTTAAACAATCCCTCATTGTAATGTTAATGTTACCACAGTTAATAAAAAGTTCATTTATTATTTGGGGGACTTTGTGCTGATGACAGTCTAGTAGGCAACAGTTTATGCTCAGATTGTTGATTGGATCTTTGGTGTTGCCCATGGAGTAAAAACTACTTGAAAAATAAAGTAGATGTAAGGTATTAAAAAAAAAAAAAAAAAAATCAAAGAAAAAGAGATAAAAGAGAACCATGGTTTTATTTTTGTTTGTGTGAAGAACTTACACAGAAACCTCTTGAGTCTTTATATAGTTGCATAATTTTCAGCAAATTGTCAGGAGATTTGTTCAGATTTTGTCAGAAGTAGCTGATTTGTGGATTTCACAGCTTCATGGATCTTAAATAATTTTAGTTTATAAAGTGTTGAACACCAACCATGTGAAAAGTCTTCCCCTTCAATTGTCTAGCTCTGATGAATTAAAAACTTAAGTCAGCATGGAACACTGTCAATTAAATCTCCTTTTTATTGTCAGTAGCGAAGTTGGTATTTTTACATTTGGTTGAATTGACAACTTTGTTCTTAAAGACAAATACCGAATTTACAAGTTGAAGTCTTTTAGGGTCATTTTCAGACCTTATATACTCTGCAT